AGAAAACGACGTCGCCGGAGTAGGTCGCTTTGTACTCAGCGAGTGGTGGTGGCCTTACCCGGCCAATACCACCGGGGCAGGGGTTGCCAGTATAATATATAGTCTAAAAATAATATCAAGTAAGCAGTGTAATAAGAGATGCGCAGTGTGACCGAAGAAACGACGTAGATAAATAATTGCACCGGCGTTGAATGTTCGGAGGTAAACGTGCACGGACGAATCTTAGGCGGTGCGGTGCAAGAATAAAAAAAAAAAGAGTATAAGTGACTCTTATGCGATTTTACATTAAATAAATATACAAATTATACGCATAAAAGGTCCTTCCGGGTCATGCCCAACGGGTTCTCTTAAAAACATTGATTAAAAACGTCGAAACAAACAAAGTTAGGAATAGGGTGGCTTTTGTAAATACTTTTTGATCGAAAACTTACTTATGAAAATTCTGCCGCTCACTGTGTATAAGTTTTCTACAGGTTCTCGCCACTTTAAGTATCAATCATACTCGAATACAAAACAATTTATCAAGTAGGTATCATGGCGTTCATAAATATCACGGATCAATTCGTATAGTTTTATTGTATAGTTATTATTGAATAGTTCAACATGTATCAACCTGTCTATTGATACATATTTATATCATCTATAAGAAATGGGAATTGTATACTTGATACACAATTTTAAAATAAAAATACTATAGTTGTCGCTTTTCTAACAAAATTTATTTTCCAGGACATGTTTAGATTTTGTGATTAATTAGTAGTATAATATTATTAAATATAGTATACGTATTAACTAATACAATATTTTGTAATTAATAAAAAATATCGATACTTTTAAATGTAGTTATACATTTTCAATACCTATTTGATAGCCATCTTTGTCTTTTAAATGTATCAAAAAAAAGTTTTTAGGGTATAATGTTAAAAAATTAAGTCAACGTTTTTTTTATAAAAATAATATCCATATACGGTTCAATATAGATACAAAGTTTTGTTATATTTCCGGTAATATTACCAAAATACACATCATTACTATTTGCGGAGCACACAAAAGTGGTGTAGTTGCGTTAATTTGTTGAGTGTACTGTTGTATCTATCTACTCAATCATAGTATAGGGGCGTTTTTAAGTAGGACTACAGTGTCGCTAATAAGTATTTACAGAGTTAATTTCAATATTTATTCGTGCAATATATATATATATATATATATATATATATATATATATATATATAATTTGTTTTAATATCATATAAAACAAAAATTTTAAAAACGCAAGAAACTACGCCTGGAATAATATATAATAGTTATTGATAATATTATCTGTTATCATTTAATATAGTACTATGTAATGGCAAAAAATATATTTCAATCTAATAATATTTTAAAAGGGCATAATTATATTTATGAAATTTTTTTTAAAGAGGGGTGATTTTTGAGCTTTCAAAAGTACCACTAACTAGTTCCTATTATATTATATACTTTAATTAGCTAATTATAATGTGAATAAATCGGTAAAATGATTGTACATATTTCCAGTCTGGATTTCACAAAGGTCAAACTGAAAAAAGTAGTACTAGATCGATATACGGCACAGTCCGTCTATATTGTATATTTTTACTTGTATGATTGAGTTGAAAATATTGGCTATTTCCGGTAAACTAGAACACTAGAAACATTGAAAAATGTTACTGAATAAAATATGAGCTTTCGTAAAAACATTTTGATAAAAACATGCCCTAGTTTTATTTTTATTGTTATGCCTGTCGAGATTATGCATAGATAAGGAAATATTAACAACTGTTATGTGGCATAATGAATAATAATAACGGGTCATTTCATGTGAAATCACCTAATGGGTGTGCGACTATACTTCAAAAACGTTTGAAATTTTTTTTTTTTTAAATAACATTTATAATCTGTACATACAAAATATACAATAAGAAAATATGCTAACAATGTAATGAATGACTTGTAAACTATGAGTAGAGAAGCTATCCAGTGATAGGACCCTATGACAGGTTTCGGCTAGAAATTAAACGGTAGCATTACAATTTAGAAGGTCTCGACACCAACGTCTTTTAAGATGACGAGGGGGGTTGTCCGGGATAGTAGCTGTGTGCTGGCTTGCTATTATTGGATTCGAGTGGAGTAGTAATCTAGAGTGGAATTTTTTATAATGAGTCTTAACTAAATTTTCAACTGATTCGATGTGTAAGTCATCGTGAAGGGTGAGGTTGGAAACATACCATGGAGCGGACGTGATTGTATGGAGAGAAATCGATTGGAAAGCTTCTATTCATTTTTAGCTGGGATGGTTTAGCACAACCCGATATTTGTGCTCCGTATGACCAAATTGGTCTTAACATTGACTTATAAATAAGAATTTTATTATGAAGCGGGAGTTTGGATTACAGTATAAGACGTAGTAAGTGCGAACGAGTATTTAGTGACTTCCTTTTTGGTTTTTGATGGGGGCCCCAGGTTAGTCTTTTATCTAAAATAATACCTGGATGTTTGACTTGAGATAAGGAGGGGATAGGAACTTCTTGGAGGGTGAGAACAGGCGTATTTTTTTTGTTGAGTGTAAAAGAAACATGTACAGATTTTTCTTGACATTTTTATCATACATTCTTTATAGATCCTTAATAACAAAAAAATTTTAAAAAAATTAAAACATTTTTCTTTTGGACCTAGATAGGTAAATTTTTTTAAAAAATTATCCAAAAACACCTCATGTTCCCGACTCTTTAATTTAACCGCTGATAGTGGTATAGACATGAAACCTGTACAGTTAAACAGTTACCAAATGTTCTACTCCCTTATAAGTAAGTATTGCATGAATTTGGAAAATTTTCGTTCAGTCACATTTGTGTTGTGGATCATTAAAGTTGGCAGTTTTCAGCAAAATACCCATGTGTGAAGCCGTAAATTAATAGCAAAAAAAACTTAATTGGTTCAAAGATGATATGGATCATGAAAACATAACTTAAATTGTATATAACCAAAATATTTGTTTTTAATTTTTTAATTTTTTACCCCAAAAAAAGTTTTTGAAAAATTCAAATAAAATTTAAAAAAATGTCTAGGGTTAAAAAATAAAGATATATATTTTCTTAAAATATGGTTAAAGTACACTTAATTATAATTTTAACTGGGCGGGTTTCATGTCTATACCACTATCGGCGGTTAAATTATAGAGTCAGGAACATAAGGTGTTTATGGATAATTTTTTTTAAAAATTGACCTACTAGGTCCAAAAAAAAATTTATTTTTAAGGATCTATAAAGAATGTATGATAAAAATTTCAAACATTTTTTAAGTATAGTCGCACACCCATTACGTGATTTCACGTGGAATGGCCTTAATATATTAGAGTTTAATTATTTAAGTAGATACCACAAACATATAAATAGGTAGCTGGTGTTTTTTTTTAAATAACATATTTTGAAGAAAAAAACGTTTTATTTCGTGATGTTCATTTGTTTTTATTAATATAGTAAAAATATATATATATTGACACCTGAGACTTGACGGGACAATGACCATTTAGAGTACGGTCATGCCGGACAAGAAAATAAGAAGACAATGAAATACACGAGCGATATGAAATGGGGGCAATTAAACTTTGTCTATAAATAAAATATAATTAAATATAGTATTTATATTTACTCGTGGCAAGAATATAAATATGATATTGCCAATTAAAATATATATACCCAACTTGAATTTAAAAATATACTTCATTTTTTGGTCTGTAGTTAATATTTTTTTTTTACAAAAGTAAGGTTAAAATATAATCATTTACAAAGGCCTACTAGTGTCGTTTTATAATTAACTCTTTAATATCCTGTTTTATATATTTCCTAGAAGAAGTTATGGAAAAAAGTTGCTTTCATGGTTTCCTTAAGTTCGTGTACACGTCATACACGTGAACAGTGCGTGTTGAAATATGAATGCTAATAACGGTATTAAAATTCGAAAAGTCTTAACATTAAAAGCATAAATCGTACTTATATTTAATTTTGAATTTCTCTATATCTGCCTTTTGAAACTCTGCTTTTTCTTACATGAGTAAAACTATATGAATATTCAACCTGAAAAGGCGTAACATAAATTATAATTAATAAAGGTTTTCAGAACTATATGAAAAAACGATTCTTGTGGGTAATCAGAATGTGCACAATTTTGACTAAAAAGTAGCTTAAAATATGTTTATGTTGCAGAACCTACATTATTTGATTCAATTTAATTTACTCAGCCTGCTGCGTTTGAACATTAAATAATTTACTATTAAACAGTTACTTTAAATTGTTAAAAGTAATCTTTTCTAAATTATCCAATCAAATCCTAAACATGTTGATTTCCATTAATGTCATATAGCAACCTATTATACCAAATATGTTGTTGTACAAGAGACAAATATTTATTCAAATTTTTACTCTCATGTTTCTTAAATTACATCAAAAAATAGTAGAAAAGTTTTTTGTCTTTTGTCAAGAAACACTTTTAACACAATTTTGCCTGACATTGCATTCTCTTTTTATTATACAATTGTTATTTTTTAATAATATATTTTCTTTTTCCTATTTTTACGTTCCACGAATTTTTCCTTTGCTCTGTCATATCCGTGTCACAAAATTAATACATTTTTTTAAACTTTTTTTTCTTTGTTTCTCAAACAGTTCTCTGTCAATTATATTCAAACTGCGATGTATATATTATTCGTGTTTCAAACAAGTTCAACGTTCACCGAAAAACATCTTAATTGCACAGTCTATTCAGAATATATTTTATTCAGTATAAATGGAAAATAATTGCTGTATGTCGACTCTATATTTAATTACATACAAAATAAGTTGTCGAGAAAAATTGTGTAACTATCTGTTACATAACTTTGTATAATATTCAGTTTATAATAATAAATATAAATAATTTGTGTATAATTTTAAGTACACGGATAATGTGTAAACTATAATTTAAATGTTTGTTTCAGTACTTACATTTGTGCCATCGTCGAAATGAAGTTAATTTTGGATCTGAAAAAATTGTTAAAAGTGTAAATTAACACCAGTCGACTTAAGTTATTACAGTTTGGACGGGAGAAAGGGTGGAGTGAAGTATTAATTTTATCTCCGCGTAAAACTTAACCTCTCATAAGGCTTTTAAGCACTGCTTAATTTAGAAGTAATTATTCAAAACTGTTATCGATTGGGATATTTTAATTTGTCATTAAAAAATTTAAAACTCAAAATACCGAGACTGAGTTAACAATTATTACTATAAGAATGAAGTATATATTACATACTCGGAACGATCAATTTTACTTACTATATTTTAAGTAAGTGGTAAACGGTACTAAACGCAATTGAAGATATTTTTTCTTTAGTGCAAGAAAATAAAATGAATCGTAAGAAACAAAATCACTCACCATCGATGTATCCTCTTCAACCTAGCAAAGAAAGCAAAAATACTGAGTTATTGCTTGTAATTCAAAACTCGCCGGACGGTCATTTTTTCAAGTCGACTAATCATTCTTATTTTTCATCTCCACTTAATAATATTACTGCTTCTCTTTTAAAAAATCCAACACAGAATAATAAGACCATTTTAATTTAAATAAGCGTATTATTATATTATATCAACGAAGAAACGCCTGTGGTTTAGAAACGAAGCCGAATCCCAGAGGCTACCAGTTTAAGAGAAGCAATATATTAAAAAGTGATAAAATAGCATTATAGAAAATACCAAAGTGTCAGAATGTGGTAAGTACCTGCCTTTAAAATTTATAGTGACCGTCTCGACCCCATTTTACAATTTTTATTTGTACTAAACTTTTATGTATATTCTGCTCAATCGTCAGGATTTATTCATAAATACTTGTATCAATATTAAACTGCGTTTCATATGACCTGTTTTTAGTAGTACATTTTAAATGTATATATTTCAGTAGTATAAAACTAAAACTTTATATACTAGGGATTATTCTGAATAAATATGATAAACATGTACACGTATATCGCACACCAGATCCGTACATTTTCTAAATAAAAAAATGTTATTTGCAATACAACAAAAAGTGATAAGTGACAAGTAAGTTTATACTTTAAAAAAAAGGTTGTACGAGAATTTAACCATTAAAAAGCATCGATTTTAATTAAGTTTATTGTGTGTATTTATTATAAATTATTCATTTATTCTGGTCAGGTTGCACTGCTGAGAGCCTTCCTATTCATACATTATTGTCACTGTATCTTTGTCATCAGACTTGCTAATTATACATATTTTGTATAGATTGTAAATAAAGAAAATATTTTAATAAAAAAAAATAAAAAAAATATTAATTATAAGCAAGATCATTTTATTTCTTGCTAAAAAATACAGTTTGATTAACTATTATTTTAACACAAAGTTCAGGAGAAAACAAATTGTTTATTGGAACGAATATTAATATTTTTGTTTGTTCTAAACCGTTTGCCCGATTCCTTCCGCCTTCGAAACTAAATTAACCTATACTTGTATCAAACAAAAAATATACAGTATTTAAACATCTTCCATAGTAGGGAAAGGTAGTCCACTTCTATAATCTATACTTAAATTGTAAAGTTATTCTACTAACTATAGTTTGTCCACCATCGCCTGGACCCTTAACGTTTGATTAACAAAAGTTTGCAGGTACACGGGTATACAGCAAAGTGCAAAAACTTTCCTGAAACAAATTCAATCAAAAGCCATTCAAATTGAAAAATTAAAAGGGTCCAATTATACTAACCACTACCCGAGCTTAGGTCTAATAGACCTTAGGCATCTATAGCCATCACAGGGCATCCAAGGGAGTAAAACTTAATAAGCTTAGGGGTCTACCGCAAATTTTTCGTAATACAATATTTTCTTTGTAAAACAAGACAAAATTAAAAATTCTAGGTTAAGCATAGAATTGGCAAATGAAAATAGTATTTGTTATATGTTTTTTTAAGTATAGAATCAATTTGATTACAAAACTAATGAAATATATTTGTAGAAGGCTTACCAATCTGAGAAAGTATTATTTATTGGCAAAGATTGTCATAAAAAGAGATGACTGAATTGATAATATTCCCTTTAGCATTATTCCTGTGTATGTGTTTTGGATGACAGATTTAAAATTAATGCAAACTAACTCGTTGCTTTCTATGAGACCTATAGCGACAGGTATGAACGCAAAAAATAGAAGATTATCAGTACCATACTCGGCGGGAATATCTTAATTAAAACCTAATTATCCCCTCCGTTACATTTTTACGAGAGTAAGTTTGATTATAAAACACTTAGTATACACCTCTAACATATGTAAGTTATACCCTTTTCATATTTTAAGATACTAATCATTATGCAAAATATTTTTTATTTTACCGTAGTATTTAAATAGTTAAATTTGATCACGTTTCTAACGATAAAAAAGTTTGTCTTACTTTTAATTTACTTTAAAACATTATTTAAAAAAGTATTTTTTACATAAGTGATTTTATAAATTTTTACCTCCAATTCTTTTCACATTTAACCGTCTGCTTATTAAGTTATACGAATATAATTATTAAAAAAATTCTCGCGACCTAAGAACAAAACTTTTTAAAATGTTTGATTTTTTTTTTCCTTTGGGTTGCACATGTCTAAATATTTAGTGGTGTTATAATATTTCTGCAAACACGAATTTTGTGGTTTTGCATAAAAGATGGCCTTATACCTATTCAAATAATTCAAATGGTTATTGCATTATCCTGAAGTGGCGGCAGCGGAGGGTCATTGTTGGTCAAATAATACATCCACCCCGCTGACCTTTGTTCTGATTCAGTTCACAATTTCCCTTTTATTTTTCTCACGATTTCATCCCATAATCCGTACATGGCCAAGAAAGAATACCTTCATTGATATGCACACAAAAACCGGCAACACTTATGCATCGTTACCTCGCACCAACCGAATCAATATTATTGTTCGCTTTGGAAACCACTTAATGTATAATGGATTGGTAAATGACACTTGGATAGGTCAATATTTAATCAATTATAATAAGTATAATATTATAGGGTTTGAAAGTACACAACGAAAACTATGAAAGTTTTTAATTTAAACTATACATAACAGTTTGGTTTAAGAGGGGTTTTTAAATGCAAAAAGTAATTTTATCCCAAAAACTCAAACTTTCATAAGGTGTATTTACTATCATATTTATATTTTTAACACCGGAGATTAGTTCTTCCGATTACAGACAAGGATTATATACTAAAATGCGTGGGCTTTACTTGACGATTAATATATATCTTAGTAGTGCAGATTAAGTAGTATTATACTAAATGTAAAATCAGTCAAAACATTATTATTATGTTGAAATGAAAAACGAAAGTATAATATTTATTATTAATATGAATAGAAAATCCTAACTTATCTAAAGTGCCGTAAAACACGGGCATTGTTTTTTTAATTTTGTTTTATTAAAAACAATTATTTTTGAAACAGTGTTATAATAATTACATTTTAATATCTTATATTTTAACGGTTAATAGAATGCATTAACATGTCATGTGATCTGAAGCGAAAATAATGCGCGCCTTTGATCCATATTTTGCCTTTTTAATCTTGAAAGCATTAATAATTTATTATTGTGTTATGTTAATAGAATTTTTAATAACTACGGGTTAAACATACAATATTCTATATGTATTGGCTTAAATAAGCGTACATGTTAAATTTATGTTATTTAAATTATAAATAATGACGTTGAGTTAAAATAATTGTTATACTTTATACACGGATAAAGGGAATACACCATAGTTTTTCAAAAAGCTTTTTTATCAGTCATCAGGAAATACATTCATACATTCAAAAAACGTGGTTAAGTGAAATTTAGCATTGTCCAAGATTCGTTCCCGATACGATTGTATACAATTCTGGTACCAACTATAGGAACGTGTGCATTTTATGTCAAAGCACATCAAAAAGCGAAAATACGACAAAGGATAGCCTATATTATAATATCTTAAACCCTAATATCTTCATAATAGTATTTATGGAGCTTACTTTTATTTTTGTTAATATTATAAAACTATTACATTTAATTTAATGATAGGTGCAAAACAAACTAGTTGTGTTAATTACTTCCAATAAATAAAACATGTAAACGCCCAGATGACATACTAAAACACATTATCTATTAAATGACCTTTATTTATAATATATATATATATATATATAAAAATAAAAATATATGTATGTATATTTTTATACATACATATATAGTATGCGTGTTTGTGTAAATGTACTTTTACTGTTTACATATGCAATAATGCTTTTAAAGAAAAAATGCCGTGCAAAACTTTGGATGTGTTCCAAATTCTTTTATATAAAAAGGTTTCTTCTGTTATATGCGTATAATAGTTTTCTCTGTCCAAGACTATTTCGAAAAAAAAACCTTTACCGGCTATCGCTAAAAATCAATACAAAAGTGTTACATTGATATCCACTTCTTTCTATCTGCATCCATTAAATAAATACTAACAAAACAAATTAAATGCAGGTGTTATATTTGCTCTACATAAAATATTTTTTTTTGAAATGAGTTTGTGATAAATTCAAGAAATATATTCTTTAACCCTTATCAAGTAACTGTTATAGGCGGGTAGTTTATTTTGTATAACAACAAGGGAATACAGTAGGTACAACAACTGCTTAAGACAAATTTTAATAAATCATTTTTTTGAAGATTCTTATCAAAGCAATTTTGATAAAAATGTATTTACTTTTTATGAACCTATACAAATTTCTGGCACACGAGCTAGATTTATGTATTTATATTTGGTTTTCAAGCTGTATTGTGATAAATTCTCAGCTGTCACCTCAAAATCTAACAGTATTTGCGCATACTTTATATGGTTATACATTTATTTTAATAAATCTGACAAGAGTACTTCACTAGAAGGCTAAATATTAAGTACCTACAAAAAATATGATTTCTTTGTTTCGCAGGAGAAGAAGTATTGGAACTCTCAATTGCTAAATAAAT